ATTTTTTGAAGAATTTTCATTACCCTTTCTTAGTAAGTTAATTTAGACCTCTACAAAAACAAACCCTAAAAATTACTTATACGACATGTATGACACAATAAATTTTAAACTGTTTATATTCATTGAAAACAGTTAAAAAATTCTGCTTTACTTATCTGTTAAAAATTAGTAATTTCCTTTTCTTAGTAGTATCCCCTAAAACAAACCCCAAAAATTACTCATACGACATGTATGCCATTGTAGATTTTTAAATAAAATTAAATTTTTTCTTAACGTTTAAATATTAAAAAATTACAATTTTATATTTCGAATGCTTGCTTAAGAGTTAAGAAATTAAAACAGCCTTAAAACTTCCCCACAAATTCTCTTTTAAAAAGTCTCATCCGACGAAACTCAATATTTTATTCAATGCGGTTAAGGACTTTTCCCATTTATTTTCCTCAGAGTTGTTGACATATATATCCACTTCCGTTCGCCCAATTAGCCTTCATCAGCTTCACTTTCGCTTTCGACACATGCAAAAATTATTAAGCCAACACATAAATAAATTGTTGAAATATTTATTTTACGGCCAAGACAAGACAAGTGTAAACAAAGACAAAAAGGACTCTCGGCTGAGACAGGTGAGAGTGCCGAAAGAAAGTGAGTGCATGGACAGATAGCAACTTGCTTACCTTAAATTTTGGGGGGTTTGGGGGTCTGAGTGAAACCGACTCGTAAATAAATACCAAAGACATAAATAAAATAGGAGGAAGAGTGAGTGGAAAACACTCCCAGACCGACCCATTTCCGTCAGTGAAAGCCAGCAAATGTAAATATCAAATAAAAAGCGTAGAAAACCAACGAAACGCTACACATCTTTTGCATTTGAACTGACAGAGTGAGCTGGGGGGAAACTAAGTTCGGGATTTAAGTTTCAGACCACTTGTGTCTGCACATGTTAGCTTGTCATAAAAATGGCTTTCGCCGCCTTCCTGAAAGAGGTAACACACCCCCTCACATACATCAATACAGGACTCTCCACACGCGTTTCCCCTTTTATTTGCAGTGCTTTCAAAGCCCTAAGAAATGGCTGCCATTTGTAAGCGAGTATAATATAATGGCCTGGCTGGCAGGAAGAAAAAATATACATATACATATATGCAGCCATAAAGTCTGTATCGATTGGAGTTCATATTCCTCTATTTTCTTTTGCGTCACCTCAATGCGTTATGGTTGGAAAAATATGTGCAATATGGTACAAGTATGTCTAGAAGTTGGCTAACTAAAAGATACTTGGAAAACTAACTAAACGAGGGAAAGTTGTTATAGATATATTTTGATAGGTTAGTACATGTTCTTATTATTTCCTATCCTTTTAATTTTTTTTTAAATTTAATTTAAGTGTCATTTAAAGTTTCAATTGCGACCTTTCGAGAACTCGGTGGAAAAGGAAATTAAATATGCAACAACAGCAGATGCTGGCACTTGGCAAGCTGTCAGGCAATGATTAAAATTACTTTTTAAACGGACAGTGTCGACAACTAATCCTTGTTTTTCCGCTCTCTCCTCTTGCAGTTGCAAATGCAAACACAACAATGAGATGGTGGCACAATGCTCTGAGGCGCAAGAGGAAGAAGCCGACGGTGGCAGGTGGAGCGGGTGGTCTCTATCTCCCAGATGCCACCTGTCCGAGACAGAAGCTGCAACAGCAGCAGCATCAGCAGCCGCAGCAATCCTTGACTTGGGGAGGAGAACCTGTCCCCCTGATTTGGTTGCACTTGTTGCTGGCATTGGTGGCGCTCAGTAATCACACAGCAGTGGCAACAACTGCTATAAATCCTGGGGCAACAGTAACAACACAGGGAGACTATGCAGCAACATCGACGGCAACATCGGCCACATTATCCTCGGCGGCAGCTTCCTCATCATCATCATCATCAGCAGCAGCAACAGGAGCAGCTTCAGCAACCACGGATAAGTTCTCGAACGACTGGGGCAACCTGGAGGATCCATTCAAGGGCATCGTGCGAATCGGCGATGGCAACACAGTTGCAAGGGTGAGTGTGCATTCAGGGAATTGGCCAAACTAAGCTTGATGTATGGCATTTCAAGAGATTAGCAGGGCAGGACCCAAAGAGTCATCGATAGTTCTTAGCAGAAGATTAGTTTATGACTTTTTTGATACCCTTAAAACAATATTTTTGTTATTTAAACACTCTTGTATAAAATATATGTTATCGAGTGATTAAATAAAGAAAGACAAGCATTTTAGTGCACTCTTTTAAGACTTTCTCTAGACAAACCAACTAGTATTTGTGACATGCAATCAAATGAGATTTTATTTTCTCAATTGCAGTCTCTACCCATTTATGTGGCAAAGTGTAAGCCCCATTTAAGCCGCAATTACACTAAAGTGCAATTGAAATAATGAGATTGAGAGTACTGCAAAGGAGTGCAGATGAGGTGGGGCAGGTTTGCACCTGCAAATTGCGCTTAAGGGGCATCCTCGGCGCACTCTCCTCTCGTTAATTGAATTGCGATTGCAGGGCACTTGAAAATCTCAATGCTATTCCAAAATTTATCAAGTGGCTATTTAGTGAGCACTTAATAATGATCCCATGGGGATGAGTGCTATCAAAAACAGAAATCAGAAATACATGAGGGAAAATAAATTGATTTAAATGTTTGGTAATCAAATTTGATGTCTAAGATTATTAATAATTTATTTAAAGTAAAAAAAGAGATTATTTAAGACGTTCTACACTTCTGCATAAGCAGCTCATAAATATTTCAGCAGCCTCACTCCTTAACTAGATTCCGGGAAACAATTTCCGCGTATTTTACCGAGGTTTATGTGCCCATAATGAGCCAAGTTAATTAGCTTAAATGGTTAGCTGCTGCTGCGTCAAGCTAATTTCTGGTGTAGATACTACTTGTGCAATGGAAACTCGGTAGGGGGCAAATTTATTCCCCAACTTCCGCATTCGCTTTCCATATTAAAGTGGCCAACAAAGAAAAACTTTATTGTCCTGTCCCATCCTTAGACCAAAGACCAAAATATTCAACCAACAATACATGAGCCAACAGAAATTTCTGTCGAAAAGTTTTCAATTCAATTTCGTCTTTTTGTCTTTAACAATTTAAAGTCTAAACAAAAGGAAACTTTTCGGTGTCTAGAATGCATCAAACAAAAATTAAAGCATGAACAAGAAAAGCCAATAACGTAATTTTCCACTCAAACGGTAAAAAGGTCTAAAACCAAAATGATAAACACAAAAAGAAAATGGTCGGGGCTCAATGAATTTTTCTTTTTAGCCAAAATGTAATTTTAATGCGTTTGTCAGCGGCAGACCAACGAAAAATAAAAAACAAAACAAAAACTCTGGCTTGAATAGACAAAAATATGATTTGGGTAGCCGCAAAATAAGAATTTGCACTGAGAGAAAAAGAAAAACGTAAAATTTCAAATTTAAGAAGTATTTGAAGGGGTTTAAAAGTGAATAAAATAAGAAAAAGGAACATAAAGATTTTCTTTATAAATAAAATAAATACAGATCTACAATGTGAAAAGTATTAAAAGTTATTTGGATAATGCCAAAAGGAACTTGTTTTTATGTTTTTAATATAAAAAGGATCACAAGACTTCAACCTAAAAGTGATATCAGATAAATTATACTTTTCTTTTAATTTTCTATTGGTTTTAATATATTCCGGCACTGTATTCTACGCCACCTATTCAACCTTTAGAGATAATAATAATAATAATAAACGATTCTCTCAACCATTTACAGACTGCCATTGAACAATCACTGGTGACGATCCATGACATTGCCACCGAGAACCTGGGAACACTATGCATCTCGACCCAGTATCGACCCCTCCAAGTGCCCATCAACTCGGAGCGGTACGAGAGCTCCAGGCAGAAGGCCGATTTGGCCGCTTCAATACTCCAGGAAGTTGGAATTATTCGGCATGGCGGTGAGTTTGTACAGAAAATATGTATATTCCAACTCGCATATGTTGTACGTGTCCTTTTATCCCATCATCGGTTATTGATTTTACTTTTGTTTGCGTGTGGGCGGTGCTTGGTGGTCTGTGTTATCGAAAAGGGAATGACATTTTCCGGCTATGAAAATTCATATACAAAAGTCAATACGCGTGCCTCGTATGTAGAGCCGATTAAGGTGGGTGTGTGTGTATATGGTGTGTGTTTTTTGTTTAAAAACTGTATCGACATAGTTTCAGTTTCCTTCTCCCCAGGCGATTTAAAGTTATTATGCCTTTGCAGGCCGCAAGCTCTGGACTCAAGCTGTGAGATTTCGGGATTACTTTAATGGTCTGCACTTGCTCACAGCTTGCGGCAGATCAGAAATGGTTTTTCAATAAATAAGATTGGCAAAAATTAAGAGCTTTAAATAAGGGATTTTATCTTGATGAAAAACTGTGGTTATTAATTTACCCCTTGGAAATCAATCAGTTTTATTGATACAAAAGATTTACAGACTTAATTTTACTTCCCAAAGTATTCAATTTTAACTAAATTATAACTAATCTCGAATAAAATATTCTTTTTAAACCTAGTAGGCTTAAGATTTCTAATACGTTTTAAATTTATATTATTTTGTAAAAACATTTCAAGTGCAGTAAAGTTTATAATTAACTTCTCAAGATAATTTCGTTAAATCTTTCAAAAATCTCAAAAAAGTAACTTTTATAAAACAAAATACCTCTTAAAGCTCCAATCACACTTATATTCCAAGGAATTCGTATTATTTAACGGTGTATTTGTTCGTTCCCAATTCAAACACAATTCCTTATATCCCTTAAGTGGAATTCTGATGCCCTTCTGTTGTGTACAGATTTCATGTCACCCTTGGAACCTTGTCGGATCCTGTGTATATTTGTACTTTTTGCCTAACATGTCCTTGCTTAATTTCACAAAATAAAAATCTGTTCCTTTTGGACCTCCATATTCGAACCCGCCCGCCCATTTGTTCTCGTAAAAGCTTCGTGGGTAAATCACAGTTGAGAACAAGAACGAATGCGACGGATGACACAACGCACAATGCGAACTTTAAATTAAATCTACAGCAACCACATTAACATTGGGACTAACAACGGTAAAGGACACTTACATGTGGATGAGAAGGAAGGCTGCCTGGGCGCTGCTGGGATGGTGATGTGCGCCACAAGTGCGTCGTTCGTTGTCAACCCCAATGCTGTCGCGCGGCTGTCAGGACAAGACTTTCATTCCGTTCCCAGTCGCCAGCCGCCAGTTGCCAGTTGCCAGCCACCCAGCGGCAGCCTTGACAATGCTCAACAAAAGGATACACTGGAATAGAAAATTGTTCAATTTAAAATTTGAAATCATACAGAAAAACTTAAAAGAATAGGAGCTGATATTCGTTATGATAATCACTGCTTAATTCTACAATCCATTTTCTATGAAGAAAATACAAATTTAAATTTAAACTCATATTAATCTAAACAGTGAGGAAATCTTTCATTTACTAAATTAAATCAACTTAAGAAAATCATAAGAGAAATCACTTTTGTCTTACCTTCTTTCGCTCAGTGCCTGAATCATCCAATAAAATGATATCAGTGTGTCATGCATAGTCAAGGACAAGCTGGAGCACAAAACGCACAATGAACTCATCGCTGGTGCTGCTCGGGTTCCTTTCTGGTTCGGATCTGGATTGAGATTGGTATAATAAGGGTAGCACGGGTGTGCTGGAGCGCACAAGTTTCCATTATGGTCATGATTTCAACACACCGCCTTGGAGCCGCCACCATCTACGACGTTCATGGTATCGCTGCTTTCTTGCCCATCACTCGCTCTGTGTTCATGTTCAAAAAGGTGAGACGTGTCAGCGAAAATCGCATAAAGTGAAGGCAAAATGGGGCCTTTTGTTGCTGCTTCTGCCGTTGCTCTTGTTGTTATTGTTCCATCATCCTGTTGAGCGCATGGAGCAACAGGAGGCATCCATTTGTATACACTTTTGGCACTTGTCTCTATCTTACCCATGGACGCCTGGCCTGTGTTGACTCTTGAAATATTGATGCGCCGCATAAATTATTCGTATAAAGTGCCCTCTCAAATCGAATAAATTAAAGCCAATTTAAAAGGGGCAACAGTGGCAGCAGCAGCCACTCAAAGAGATATCACTTCCATGGATGTCGGTCAGCTTAGGTGCAGAGTGAAGGTTGGATAAGAAAGCACTGCCTACTTTTGGGCTAAAAGTTAACACTATGTTCGTGAGGTGCAGTCTATTAGCTTAAGTACAGAGTATGAGAAGCGCAGAGGAGGGCGTGCGCGAAAAACCGTTGCCTACTTTTAGGGTTTAATTTAAAGCGATGAGCTTGAGGGGAGTACAAATTACTCTTTTAATGCAAATATAAGCTATTGAGTTGGGGTTTCTTTCGGGATGACAAGAAGTTCTTAAATTGATTTCACTCGTAAATGTAATTCAACGATAGGTTAACCTAATGGTTAACCAATTCACAATGCACATCACCATTTTCTGGTATCTCCTTTCAATTTTGAGCATGAATACCACACATAATTGAATAAGATTTCCCCCATTTCAGCTGCGATTTCCATAAAATATGGCTCCCAGAAGTCCGCTTTCAGGCAAACCGAATCTCTGGCAAAATTTAATTATTCCTGAACAAAACACCTGACAGCTGCAAAAAGCACCTGTGTGTGTGAGATGGGGAAAAACATGTCTGACTGTAGTTTGAATAATTGGCAATTTAACACACTCGCCCAGCGCACACACTCACAAGCTGGAAATTCTGTTTGGGATATATGTCGACCCAAAAATAAAAAAAAGAAGACATACATACACAAATTGTAACAATTGTTGTTACAATTCCTGCAACACCTTCGCATCGAGCAAAACAAAACAAAAACTTGCCCAAGAGGCAATAAATTCTCAAACTATTCGAAAAAAGGAAGGGAAAAAGATTGATGATAGAACACGGACGAGTGCGAACCAAATGGCAGAGCGGATGATGGATGAGCCCACGAACCATAAGCACATCATTCCCTTTATGCCGCTCCCCCCAATTGCCGTATGTTACCTGCTCAGGTGAAACCCACAGTGTCAGCCGCTTCAAAGTGTTGTTTACCATAAGCGTTTTGTCTCCGCCACATTTCTCAGGATAATGGTGATGGAAAGTAAAAGGGATATGCACACATGTATTAATACACAGTAAGGAAATTCCTAATATGGTTTAAAGAAATAACTTCATATAATATTTAAAAACAGAGTTCAGCTTTGCATTAATATGATACAAATATTTAACAACGAATAGAGGAAAGGAAAATATATGAAAACGAGTTCAATTGGTCCGATCTATACATGTGCACTGACATGGCAGTTGCCGTTGATATTTTTTACAGTGCCATGAATTCATTTTTTACTGAATGTGTTCCGTTATATTATCCGCCAAGCTCGAATAAACCGCCGTGGTTTACTAAAGAGTTGAGCCGACTTAAAAATAAACAAGAAAGGAAGCTAACTTCGGCACGCCGAAGTTTATATACCCTTGCAGATAGAACTTCTATGACTTAGAATCCCAACAATATAAATTATATTTATTTGTGTTAAAAAACAATGAAGTAATACCTGCTTTCATTTCATTCACCTTTACATATTATATTTGCAGTTTTACAGTCATAGATGTGCATTTTTCTCCACATCTAACGATCGTTTGTATGGCACCTATATAATATAGTAGTCCGATTTTCATAAAATTTTACACAAAATTTAAGACTGATATAAAATAGTTATACCTCAAATTTGATGAAAATCTGTTGAAAACTGAAATGTTATAATTTTTAATTGTCTTAATTTCTCGATTGTTCCTATGGGAGCTATATGATATAGTTGTCCGATTTTCATTAAATTTTATTCAAAATTGTAGAGTATAGTAAAATGGATATATCTTAAATTTTATCAAATTCTGTTGAAAACTGAAATTGTTATAATTTTTTTTGTAAAAATTATCCGATCATTCCTATGGCAGCTATATGATATAGTCGTCCGATCCGGCCCGTTTCGACATATATACGAGTGAGAGTATATAGAAGGCTAACTACAAAGTTTCATTTAGATAGCTTCAAAACTGAGAGACTAGTTTGCGTAGAAACGGACAGACGGACAGACGGACAGACGGACAGAAGGACAGACGGACAGACGGACAGACGGACAGACGGACATGGCTAGATCGACTCGGCTGTTGATCCTGATCGAGAATATATATACTTTATATGGTCGGAGGTGCCTCCTTCACTGCGTTGCAAACTTCTGACTGAAATTATAATACCCTGCAAGGGTATAATTAAGAAATAACACTACGTAAAAGGTTGATATAAAAATATACATAATTAAATATAGATCAATAATTAAATATAAATCAGGGACATTTTCTTGCAAATTTAATGTAATGTAGAATTTTTCACTGTGTTTTTGGGGTTTTGGAAATTAACATATGGCTCGTGACTTTTAAACTAAAGCGTTATTTGTGGTTTGAGATTTCCAAAGGCCGTTACTGAAAGCTTTATTTAATGTTTAGTTAGAACTATTAATCATCGAGACGTGAAAATGTTTTTGGCATTTATTTTATTAAGACAGTTTCACAATAAATGACTTTGGTGTGTATTAAATGCTGTTCATGATGTTTAAAGTATTAAAGAAAAGGTATAAATAATATATATTATAATTAAATTTAAATTTTCTTATCAAAACATTTATCTATTTAGTAATTTTAAAAGCAAATATAAATTTGTGGTGCTAAGAAATTAAGTAAATTATGTCACATTATTTTTTTTTATCGGTTGGCCAAAGTAAACATATACACAGTCATTTATCCCACGTACATCACAGATCCTTTGTTTCAATTTCTCCCTCTCTCCAGCTTCATATAAAGTTTACCAACTACAAAAAAAATGCACGTACACGGTTTATGTTGCTTTCTCTCGAACAAAATCGAAAAAATGAAGGAAAAGAGGAAAACTTTGTGAGATGTTAGAGGGGTACCTTGCACAGTAGCAACAAAACAGCAACAAAAACATTTCAGGAAAAGGAAAATAAGCAAGCCCTATACATACTAAAACAAGAAAATAAAGAAAATGTGCCACGGAAGTTGCGGTAATCGAATTTAAATAAGTTTACTTTGTAAACAATTCTCGTTTCGTACTCGCTCCTGCACATACCACCATTGCCCTTTGCCTTTTCCTTTCTTTTTCCTGAAAGTCAAATAATGGTGAAAACTGTTTAGCTATTTTTGCGCAGAAATTGGGAAAATATTCCTGATAGAATTTTAAATACAGTCGAAGAACTTAAACTTATTGAGCTAGAAAATTAATTAAAAATCATAGTTAAATTATATTTATTTAAAAAAATTAAATTAATCCTTATAATCATGTTTAAGTTTTATGAAAACCTCGGTCAAGGTATTGGCCATATTAATAATTAAATGTTTACACTTTATTCTTTATTTAAAATTTCATTTGATTTCATTAATTTAGCTTTAACTTTTCTATAAACAATTCATTGTCAATCTAAAGCGAATTAAATTAATCTCTTCTTAAAAACTTATTTTTTAACCTGACTGTATTTGTAGTTTTTTAAACCCCATTATCTGTAAAACCAATTTAGTTTTATTTTCCAAGTCCTGTCATCTCTAAAACCAAAAAGGCACGCGAGTCTGGCAAAAAAATATTAGCTTTTGACAGTCAACGCCCACACACTAACAGAGGCAGTGCAGAAAAAGGGGACGAAACGGAAGGTCCTCACGATGTCCTGCCGCGCATATTAATCATTGTTGTTGGTTTGACACTTTTCACCAAGGACAAAAGGCACAACTGCAGCGCAACAGCAGCTGCGGCTTTTAATGACTGTTTCAAGGTTGCAATAACAATAACAGATGTTCCCAGTTAAGCGCTTAAAGTTTTCAGCGAATGCACCACGAGGAATTAACAATTTGGTGGAGCACATACTGCAATTATAGTATTTAAATTCACTTTGCATAGCTTATGTATGCACATATCACACAGCCACAAATGAAATTGTGCGCATGAACTCAATTAAAAGTTTCGTTTTAATTAACAAATCAAAAGCTATTATTGCTGAAAATGAAATTCAAAGAGTAGTCATTTTTAATCGATTTTTCATTGTACAGGGAAAAATACAAAAAATAAATGTAATGTAAAATAGTTGTGAGCTTAACAAATATAGAGAAATGTACTGTATGTTGTCAAGTTTTTAAAATTATAATAACCTACCAAAAGTAATATTACTCATACGCAATGTTGGTAATAAAAGAAACTAAGTCTTCCTGTGGTTAATGATATAATAAAAATAAACATATGTCTGATTAATGTTTAAGTATTAATAATGATGGTTTTTTTATATATTATTCCTATCTGAAATTACAGAAAAATTACCCATACGCAATGTTGGAAATAAGTCTGCCCTGGATAAGGGATATCATAAAAATAAACTATAAAATCCATAAAATAACATAAATTAAAATCATTTATAAATAGTAATAATCCATAATAATTAAATAACTTAAATAGTAAAGTAAACATAACCAGACATTTCATAAATATTACTCATACGCAATGTTGGTTATAAGAAACGAAGTCCAAAGCTTTTCACAAAAAGAAACACATGTAAAACTGACGAATGAATAAATATATTAAGATTTATACATTTTAATAGCCCATTCTAATTTAAATTAACTTAAATACTAAAGTAACCATAAGTAGCAATTACAGAAATATAACTCATACGCTATGTTGGTAGCATAAAAATAATACTTCATCTACTTGAACTTTTAAAGTTTTTATATTATGATATCATCTCTATCTATCAAATAATACGAAGTTGAAAATGCTAAAGTATTTCTATATAAATCACGTAGTATGAAATCAAACGAGGAGAATAAAAATGCGATTCCTTCTGGGGAATCGAAATAATGCCACACCGTATATGAGTGCTGTAAATAATTAAATCCACCAATTAGCGCTCTGAATTCAGAAATAACGACCAGTGAAGTGACATGGCCAATTTATTTTCGTGTAAAATGCAATTGCGATTTTTAATTACTCTGTCTGTGTGTGTGTGTGTGTGCGAGTGTATGTGCTTTCATTTAATTTCCACCACCAATTATTGAAATAATATTTATGCTTATCCAATGTCTGTTTATTGCTTTTCTTACACACAGGCCTATCGGATGCCCTGGCCAAAGGACTGCTGACCGATGACTTTATAACTGGAGCCCGCATTTTGGCCTTGATCTCACCAACGGAGCGGTGCAGTCCTATGTTTGGTGGGTGAAAAGTGGCCAAGCGGAAACGCAGAGGTACGACGAGGATGGTCTGCAGATTGGCAAAAGCCTGCGGAAAGCTATCCCTGGTAGGTCTTTTTCAGCAACAATATTTTACAAATTTCAAAATATAAAATTAAAACCAAAACCCAAACCAAGCACCACTTTCCTGAACATTCCCCTATTACAATCTCGATTAATTTGGACTCCTCCTCTGCAGGTTCGACGATGAGACCACAACGCCCACATTGCGTTCACCGAAATTTGCACCAAGTCCGCCCAACAACTACTACAAGGGCTGGTGGACATATCCATACTTCTCGTGCTCGGTCAGTCGCTGGTTGGTGTCCTATAGCATCGCCATACCACCAACTGGGCGCCATGGACTGCGGGGCTTCATCAGCATCGACATCGATGTGTCCACTCTGCGGGTTAATCAATGCGAGGCGGAGCCATACCAATTCGGCAGTCGCCGCCAGAAAATGCATCAATTGCAGCAGCAGCAACGCCTACCGGCTATCCGGAGGACCCCATTTTTGCCCAACAGGATGGGATCCATGACGAGGGCACCATCAGTGACCTGCAGGCGTTCCACAGCTCCCACAAGTGTCATCGCACTTCCATGGTGGTGAGTTAACATATAGGAAAATTATATTATTTAGAAGAATTTCTCTTAGTTAACTTAATATTAATTATTCAAGCTAAAACTTAAATGCTTATATGTAAAATCTATATTTCTATTTATATTTTCTTTCAGTGCGACTACCGGCAGCCAAGTGCAGAAGTACCGACAATAAGCGGCGGAAAGCTCCTGACCTCGTTGAGTGGGAGCAGCAGCTGGGCCGGGGATCCTACCAGTGCCTCTGCCGAAATGGATTCTACTCGCTACGTCATCCAGATGGCTTCAATGGCACCATCATGGAGATTGCCTGGCAAGAGCAGCAGGAGAACATCAGCAACTATTATACGGAAGTCTTCAAGTGTTTGTCTTGCGCCCCGGCTGTGACACATGTACGGGTCCGGAGCCATGTCTGGCCAACTACCACTGGCCATTCAGGTGGGTTTCGTGTCCTACTCCGGTTGTTTTCTCATCAGTGATGGGAAATAGTGGATAGGAAAACATATAAGTAGCTAAAAATTACCTTAGCTTAGCTTGAAACCATCTAAACTTGTGCCATCTCTGTTATTTATTCGGCGACATCAAAGCGTAGGTTGCTTCTATTTAATGCCTTTTCAATTTCGCTCTTCCACAGAATATCCTTGTTGACCATATCCATTGGCTGTGCCTGCGGCACCTTTGTCCTTGCCGGCTACCTCTTCCGGCATAGGCGCGTCAAGGTCTTTAAGGTGGCCAGTCCCATCTTCCTGATGATCACGCTCATTGGATGTGCCATTATGTATCTGGAGGTGAGTTACTTGGGTCATTTGGGGCGACGCTCTTAACCCATTAAACACTCTTAGGGGGAGAGACGGGGTTCCAGAACACACAAAGGCCATTTGAAAACAATGTTGGTAATGCGACAAAAGGCCCGACATGGTCGGCACAAGCTCATTCATAATTAACCCACATGTGTGTAACCGCCCGGCTCCGTTCTTATCCCATTTCCCATTTCTGGCGGCAAAGGGATCTGTGAACAGGCCGCAAACATAAAGTCTTACCTATGGGTTTTTAAATGCGGCTTTTAAGCACTTACTCAGGGAAAAGTAATCTAGGATTTTCAGCCATTTTGCGGCGAGAAATTATTTATAGTTCTATATATTATATATTATATGTTTTTGTAAATATTTGAAATAGATAACCTACTCACTATTTTATAAGTACTCACTTATTAATCTACCGTACTGCCTTAGAAATTTATACTTCTATTGTTATTCTAATTAACTAAAAATTTTAAAACTCATGTAATAAGTTTTATTACATCGTTAAATCAACATTTTTCTTTGATAAATTTCATAAAGATAGAGCATTCCCCATTCTACATTCACCTGAACCAAGTTTGTGGTTACCTATTCCCTTACCACTTGTTGGCAATTATGTTGTCAACATTAGCTAACCAACAGTGCTAAGCCACCACCACCCAGTGGACACATAAAACCACCGTCCATAAAACCTCCATCCCTTGAATAAACACACACAAAATACACACAATGGCAGGAACAAGCAGTTGCAAACAATGGGACAGCAAATGGGTTAAGAGCTTGCAATGGGAAAGGGAATATAAAAAGTAAAGCGGGACAAAATCGCAGTCGATTTTCTAATCAAAATGAACAAATAAAATAAATATAAAAATACAAAAAAAAAAGTGACAACAAATTGTTTGTGAAAACTATGAGCAGGAGATCTCCCACGAAGCAAGATGGAAATTCGAAAAGCGAGAACTCCACAGAGGAGGAGGATGAGCTTGCCATGCAGGCGGCCATGCGGGAAATGGTCAAGAATGCAGAGATGGACGAAATGGCACGGAGGAAAAGCCATCGCCTCAAGGCTCAGCCAACACCTAAGGAAGCGGATACAAACAAAAATCAAGTGGAACAAGGTTTACAGACAACTGAATCTCCGAAAAAGGTTAAAAGTTCCAAGCCCGAGACGACGAAAGCGAAGAGCGAAGACAGTTGGGCTTCTATTTTTTTCAAGAGATTGTTCAGGTTTGGAAATCAAACCAAAAGAAAGGACGGCATCCAACAGAAAGCCTCTTCTCCAGAGCGAGACAAGCTCTCTAAAAAAGATTCACCAAAGAAGGATGTCAAGGAAAACAGACAGATTTTTAAACCTCAGACCGTAAATGAAAGGCACTCACCTCCAAGAACCTCCAAGGAGAGTTTTATGCATACCGAACGTTATGTTTCCACTCCCAACCCCATCTCTATGCCAGAAATCGAGGAAATTATATTCCAGGATAGCGAATTAGGAAATGAGCAGCTTTCGGAAGAGCTTGTGCAAAAATTACAAAAGATTGAAGAGGCCTCCAAGCCAAAGTCTTGGGTGAGGCCGAAACCGATTGTTATAAATCCAAAGAAGATAGCTTCTCCCACCAAAGACATTGAGAATAAAGTGAAGCCAAAACCGTACGATACTACAAAGGAAAAACGTGGCCATATTAATATTTTGACATCTTCATTTCCAGGTAGTTTAAACTATGTCACAAAAGGAAAATCTGCAGAAAGTCCTAGAGAAAACTCAGCAGAGAAGCATAAAGATAACATTCCTGAAAGTACTGAAAATTCATTTAGAAAATATAAAGAAAATACTGAAAAACCCCCTGACACAAAACGGTCTTCGGAAACTCAGTTAAGAAAATCATTGGATCATCATGATTCGCAAAGGACTTTAACAATCAAGGGACATAAGCATATTACCACGAGATGGGGCGATCACTGTCATTATGAGGATCGTCAAGACGGCATAGATAAGGTGGCCAAAAAAAATCTGATCATCGCCTGTATTTTGTGTTTTACCTTCATGGTTGCCGAAATTGTTGGTGGAGTTCTTTCCAAAAGTCTGGCCATCGCCACGGATGCAGCCCATTTGCTGACGGACCTTGCCGCGTTTCTAATATCCCTGTTCGCCTTATATTTATCGGGAAGGCCTTCGTCACAGCGTCTGAACTTTGGATGGTATCGGGCAGAGGTCATTGGGGCCATGATATCCGTGTATCTTATCTGGGTAGTTACAGGTGAATGATAAATTTTATATTATACGCATTCTGCAAGTGATCCATACCCTCAATTCCATCGCAGGCATCCTGGTATACATGGCCATTCAGCGGCTGATAAATAAGGATCACGATCTGGATGCAAAGATAATGCTGATTACCTCGGCACTGGCAATACTCTTTAATATTATAATGGCCTGTCAATTGAGTCACGGACACTCGCACTCTAATCTCGGGAATCCAAGTCGAACGAAGATCACGGAGTCACATCATGGGAGCGGAAGTGGAATAAACTCTCACACGGGATTAAGATCCCCATTGGGTTACTCTGTGTCCACTCAGCTCTCTGTGAAGTCTGAACGAAATATTAATGTGCGGGCAGCCCTGATCCATGTGGTTGGGGATCTCTTCCAGAGTATTGGGGTCTTTGTGGCCGCCTTGATAATATTCTTTAAGCCCGAATGGGCCTTCATGGACTCCGTTTGTACCTTTCTGTTCTCGATTCTGGTGCTAGGGGTCACAATTAAAATATTAAAGGATGTCCTTATGGTCCTGATGGAGGCCACACCGGATTACATGGACTACGATGAGGTAAAGCGCACATTCCTCTCCATTGAGGGTGTAATGCATGTCCATAACTTGAGAATATGGGCACTGTCCATCAACAAGGTGGCCTTGTCTGCCCATCTGGCCATTGCCAAGGATGCTGATCCACAGTTAATCCTCGAAAGAGCCACCAGGCTGATCCACAAGAGGCACAAATTTTTCGAGACCACTATTCAAATCGAAGAGTATTCTTCTGGCATGCTCGATTGTGGTCAGTGTGCGGATCCCTTAAGCAAAAAGGATACTCCGAATCCCATCGAAATGGAAGAGGGTACTGCGGTTGGGATTCTGAAAAAAGCAGAGAAGAAACCCAAGGCTCCGGAAACGGACTGAAAATAACTGGAACTATTAAATAATTGTATTTATTTTTGTAGACTGATCATATTCAATGTCTTTAGTGATAGTAATTGTTATTAAGTAATGATAAATTAAATTTCGTTGCCATTTTTGTAATCATTTTAAATCGGGAAATTTAAATCTTGAAGGGAGATTTTGTTTACTTAGGAAAATCATTGGATCTATTCATGATAAGTTCTTAAATAAATATATATGTTATATGTTACTTTTTTATTCTTAGATGGTGGCTATTTTCCCCTTATTGGACACAACTTGGTGCATTGCCACGAAATGGACTCGGCATATGGGCTTTTGCATCACCTACACTTCGCTGTTAATGAAAACCTGGCGGTAAGTAAGGCAGTAAATAAATACAGAACTTTTAACATTAAAAAATATCTTATATTTTTCAGAGTTTCTTTGACTTATCGGGTCAAGTCGGCACACAAAATAAAACTAAACGATCAGCAATTATTACAATGGATGGTGCCCATCCTCCTGGTAATGCTGATCTATTTGGGGACTTGGACCATTTCGGCAACACCCTATGCTGAAGTGGTAAGTTAATTAATATAATTTATATATATTAAATTTTATTTGGTGATTATGGTATTAATTTTTCTTTTAAATTCCCAAAGATCTATGACCAGAGTCACCTGAAGTTCAAGCAGTGCTCGTATAATTGGTGGGATCACAGTCTGGCCATAGGGGAAGTATTCTTCCTGGCTTGGGGCATAAGGGTTTGCTATAATGTACGGAATGCGGAGAGTCTATATAACGAAGCGAGGCTTATATCATATGCCATCTACAATATTGCCATTGTTAACATAGCCATGGTGGCATTTCAGTAAGTATTAAGAACTATATTCAAATAATATTCAATAGAAAAAAGGAAAAGGAAAAGAATTAAAGCACCTGCTTTGAGATAAACTAGAAATTACTCGCTAGATTTTCTTGATATTTTCTTTGTTTTTAGTGTATGTTGGGGGTGTGTGGATCCTACCCACCTGATGAAGGTCCTTCTGCCGCAGAATTGAATTATAACAGTTGACACATGTTGGGTAATCCAAACATGCTGGGGCACGCGTCGCGGCCATTAGGGGAAATGCAAAGCTGCCCGGCTTGCGTCTTACGCGGTCCCTTTTAATTAAATTCCTTTGCTTTGTGCGCGCTCGTGTTCGCGTTGTAATCCTTTTTGTTGGCCTGCCAGGACTCGCTGCCATCCGTCTCTCTCTCAGTCTCCCGGTCTGTCTGTCGCTTTGTTTACACACACATTCCTTTCCTGGGCATCAGCATCATCCTTCTCTCCGGTTTCAAGTTGTCTGCGGGTTGGCTGCTCCTCGCTTCTAAAGTCCTTTTGATGAAGTCCTTGTAATTAATGCAATTTGTTGGAAAACTTTTGTGCCACGAACCTAAACCTATCCCAATTGGGTTAGGTTAGTATTGTGTAAAGTGTTAATTGGCTGCCGAATGAAAGGTGCAAGAATTTATTTTCAAGTGGGGAAAAGAAAGCTAAATTATTTTAATGGGACAGTGCAAATAATTATAAATTAAGGTAGCTACAATTTAACAAATTTAAATTATTTAATCAAGTTAGAAAGAGAGTAATTATTGTTTAATTTCTTTTCAAAACCAGTGTCATGCTCTTTCCAAATGCTGGACCGGATTACAAGTACATGCTAGGATTTGTGCGCACTCAGCTCTCGACGACCACAACCATTGCTTTGGTATTTGGACCCAAGATTTTGAGGGTCTTCAAGGGCCAAGGTGACAAGTGGGACCAGAAGGCCAAGGTGAGGAGCATAACAGCTTCATTTTCCCTAAATGGAGTGGGTCTGGTACCGGAAGAGTCGCCGGATCTCTACCAGGAAAATGAGGAGCTTAAGGTGGGTCTTGGAAGAAATAGATCTAAAAGGAGTAAAGTTAATAAATTTTAATTTTTGCAGGAACAAGTCCAGAAGCTGGCCCATCAAATCGAGTTCATGAAGACTGTCCACATGCAGATGAACAACAGGCATCTGAAGCCAAAGCCGGGAGGATATTTTACCATCACCTCAACCTCGTTCCAAGCGCCCTACAGCAAGAACACGGTTTCCACGGCACAGACGCAAACTGGCAAAGAGGAGGCCAGGTGGGTTTTCTACTTAAATTACCAAGGGATTAAGATATTTATTTATTTAATATTTTTTTCCAGTGGCACGCCAACGAAATCAAAGTCGCCCAAGGGCAAAGTCTGACGAGGTCAACGAAGTGTTAAAGATTGCTCAATAGAAGTGGATGAGAGGCATGGCATTGCCACAATGGTGGAGGATGCAATTGATTTTAGTTTCCACCAAGCAGACTCGGAGGAGATAGTTATCCTCAAGGGAGATGAGCAGCCGGGCTCAGAGGAGGCAGCCCTGCTGGAGCAATTCCGTCGCCTTTTCGCACCCATTTTGGATGATAGCTTAAGGCTCTACTACCAGCTTAATGACTCGGATGATGCGGAGCACGTGAGGATCCACCAAACGGTGGCACAGCTTAACGATGTGGGTAGCAGTGAGGAGGAGACAATGGTGACCCAGGTGAATAGTCCATCGGCGTCGCCACCGGTGGAGGTAGAGTTGCTTCTGCCCCTTTCGAGCGACAGCTCAACGGCCAGCAGTTCTCTGTACGCGATCCATACCCCATCGCCGGCTCATCCCAGTGGTGTGATCCTGATGCCCCAGAATCTAGAGTCGCCACAGTTGTCCCACAGTGATCCCATCACGCTCACCGAACAGGTGCAGCTGCATAATCCTCCGCCGGAGGACGAGAACAACACGTCCTGCTCTCTCTCATCGAATCTGACGGACAGCAAGACCCTGGATGGTCGCACTCCCATTGTGGTCTGAGGAGGAGGATAATGGATATATTCCCCGATCTGCTTAACTTGTGATTTCGTTTACACAGTCTTAGAGAAACAACAAACAGTTGGCGGAAAAGGACAGCTTAACGTTAAATATTAGTCTTAAATAATGTTTGTGTGTATGTGTCTGTCAAAGTTGTTAACATATTAATTGCGTTTATGCGGAACGGATAATAAGAGAGATATATTTATATATTTCAGCCATACAAAAGTTATATATGAAATATCCCACCAAGTATTACAAATAATTTCCGGTTTATATCTATTGAAAATATACGTAATTGGAATGTATTTCTTTTTACTTTGATTTTGTTTAAATAAAAACATCATTATTTAATTCCTCTTTTATGAACCTTCCAACTGCATAGACGCAATCTAGATGTGTGTGTTTTATATGGCTTAAGTTATTGCTTCTTAACCATACACCCAACCATTATCCCATCATCCATGGTCATCTTCAAAGAAAAACAAAATGAAAACATTGAGCAAATTTTTCTCACTTCGTTCGGATCGAATAAGGAAGTTGTATAGGAAAAGGGATCTTTTGGGAGCCAGACGGCCTGATGGCACTCATAGAGTAAGGCCATCAGGGCCCTTAGGGACTTGGCATTAACATTTCTGATTTTATATCTCTCACATGCACCTAGCGAAAAATAAATTCCATTTTTCTATTTTTCTCTCTGCACTCATTCATAGGACAATTATTCTTTGCCTTGTAGTCAAATTTACTTGATTTTCATACTCATATGATCTTAAAAGCGTAACATTTAAGCTTAGCAAAGAGTCGATTTTAGTGTACAAGACGATATACATATATAAAAAGAAACATACTTGATATAAAAACTAATTAAATTGAAATTTTAGCGTACTATTTTAAGCTGAGAAAGTGTTAACAGACGCGCAATTCTTACTCATAAAGTTGGGCATTACGTAAACTGAAAAGTATTCCGCATAAAAATAATAAAACAAGATTAATTAATAAATTGATAAAAAAATTAAAACATTTATGGCATAAGTTAATGTTAATAAATTAAAATATTGTAAAGGAACAAAGTGGCAAGAACAAAGAAATCAAAAATAAATGTTATAAAACTTAATCAAATTATTTCGAGGAAGATTTTTTTAGTTAATAAATTCGATTAGTCTCCAATTTTAATTTCTTACTTTGCTGTCACCGATACAAGGTGATAATTTGATATCAGGACATACACCCGTCATCTTAGACATGGTCAAAGTACTCATTAGCGAATTGGTCAGCAGGACATGTTAGTGACTAATAAACTTTCTCCTCAATCCAAGTTTAAACCTCGCAGGACATGTTCAAGTTCCTTCGTCAGAAAAGTGTTTCCAAACTCTCAGCCGTAATTCTCCGCTGGATGTTCTACATATGTAGATCCTTTGGCATTTCCTGGTTCAAGTTCAAAACTACAACTACTAACCAAATGACGATGGAAGAAATTGGTCCGTGCTGGAAGTGGTCATTGAGTATCCTTCGCGTGGGTGGCCTATGTTTGTTCACATTCAAATACTTCGAATTTATGATTATGATAAATAATTGGCTTAGAAAATTCTTACACATCATCCAAATATTACTGAATATGGCCTGCTGCCTGTGCCTCCTGAGATTGCACCTGGTTCAAGGCACAGAATGCACTAATTTGATCAACACATTTCTCCAAATTTTTCAAAAAGTTCAAAGGCTTTTCAAGGGGATACATTCGGGATTTGGAGGAACACATGAGCTAGTGTTTTTAATCCTCACTCTTTCAAGCCTAACTTTCGATATAGTGTTCCTGATACGGCTTTTATGATAAAGAAGTATTGGATTATAGATATCTATGTGTCCGTATGCAATAAAGTTCTCTTGCATATCGCCGTTGTGGGCTATATAGCATTGGGACTGCTCTACGCCGACTTGAACGAATATGTTTCCACCGAGTTCAGATCCCAACTGGAGTCCCTGGAAGACAAGCCCACCGGTCGGAAACTGAGGAAGGCCCGCAAGAACTTGGACAAGTGTTTGAGCCTTTACAAAGACGTGCAATCTTTGACATTCATGTTTCAAAGGATATACGACCTGATGCTACTTTTTAGCTTGGGGCAATCATGCATTAAAGTTGCCTTGGCCTCTTACAGTACCTTTATCATTCTCGATATTAGCTTGCCATGGCTGTTGTCAAAGATCTCTTTTGAAATTCTAAATATGTTGCTTTTGACCTTATCAGTGCAAAGGACAAAACTTCAGTTCGGAAATATCCATAGACTGGTGTTAGAGAATTGTCATCTAAGTGAAAATAAGGAGTGGCATAGAACTGTGAGTAGATGGTTATAATTTCCTCCTTTTATACAATATACATTGAAATTTGTATAGTATTTATTTTATATTATTTGTACTTATTTCCTACAGCTGGAAGTGTTTTTCACCCATCTGAATCTCTACGAATTTCAAGTTCGTCCATTGGGCTTATTTGAAATATCCAATGCACTCTTGGTGAATTTTCTCTCGGCCTTGATTACCTATCTTACCGTCGTCATTCAATATGGAATGCAGCTGGATATTATATCCTTAACGAACTAATTAGGCTCAGAATAAATCAAAAACGCACAAGTCAAAGGTTAAACTTTTAACTTACTCGTTGTCAGAGAGGCTTAGTTACTGCAATACTTGAACTCACATTATTCAAATGTTTATATTATATCTATACTATTATATAAAGAGGTAATGTAAGTTTGTTTGTATGTATTGAATAGGCTCCGAAAGTACTTGGCAGATTTGAAAAATTCTTTCACTGTTGGAAAGCTACATCATTCCTGAGTGTTATAGGCTATATTTCATTAAAAAAAAAATAGGCATCCTTACTAAAATTAAGATAACGTAATCCAAGGTGTTAAAAAATTATCAAAAAACTACCTTACATCTACCGCCCTCTACAAGCAGCCAAAGCATTTACTGTCAAACATTCAAAACATATTGAAATAAGGAATTGGAGATAAAAACTTTATTTTTTTGTTCAGGTTCAGTAAGAAACGAAGTCATGCCACCCAAGAAGTCGAGTTTGGGTCGTCGTACTCGCAATACAGAAGCAAAAAGACGTAAGATTAAAATATAACTGACGAAGAACGGGCCACCATCCGAGAGACTGAGCAGCTGAGAGCATTGCAGATGCACAAGGAAGAATCAACAGAAAGACGAGCAGATAGGCTTGAGAGAAAACGATTAAGAGTTAGACAGTCGCGTTCTGCAGCAATCGATTTGATTCACTCTCAAAATAATGAACGCGACAGGGCAAGGGTAGCTGAAGCGCGTTTACAGCTTGCAGAAGATCAAAACCTGCAATACAATCGTCTTGCATTCAGATATAATCCAACTATTGATTACAGCTCGAATCGAATGTCGTTATTGGCCGGATGCATCAGGTCTGCATATACTGTCAGGCCTCTTAGATTGAATCAGACGAAACTTCGGTCCGAGGAATATATCCATTTGCGGGATGCTGTGATGAATGCTGCAACTCTTTTGAAGGATGGCAAAACTGCTCATTCTACTTTTAAACTTCCACTATCCGTCAATCTTGAACAACAATCTACATGTTCCATCCGCAAAAATGGACCTATTGGTAAATTACTACAAGACGCCTCATTGATTATGTGGGACGAATGCACGATGAGCCATAGAGCACATATAGAGGCCGTGAACAGAACCTTACAGGATCTAAGGAACTCCTCTGCAGTCATGGGCGGGATTACTTTTGTATTTGCTGGAGATTTTCGACAGACTCTCCCCGTTATTAACAGAGGCACGCGAGCAGATATCATCAAGGCATGCTTGAAATCGTCTCCCATATGGACTTCGATTGAAGCATTAAAATTAAGGACAAATATGAGAGCTCATCTTCATGGAATCACTGATAGCGATTTCCCACAGCAACTGCTAAAACTTGGGGAAGGAATTTTTCAAACTCCAAATTTAAGCGGTCATTGTGACATTCTTCTGGATGAGTCTCTAGGCCAAATACTCCAAAATTTGGAAAATTTAATAGATTCTGTATACCCTGATATCGAGAATTTGCACGAAAGAGACTTCCATTGGCTGTGTTCTCGGGCTATAGTATGTATCACCTAAGAATGATACTGTCAATGAAATAAATAATCTGATTGTTCAAAAAGTCCCCGGCCAAACAAAAACATACAAATCGATCGACACTGTAACGAATATTGAAGATGCAGTCCATTATCCACAGGAATTTTTAAATTCGGTGAACCCTTCTGGACTGCCACCCCATGAATTGACGTTAAAAATCGGAATCCCAATCATGCTTTTAAGAAATTTAAACCCTCCGAGCATGTGTAATGGAACGAGGCTGCTTATTAAGGAGTTAAAGGACAATTTAATAGTAGCAACTATTATCACTGGCCCAGCAAGTGGTCAATTAGCTCATATACCGAGGATACCGATGATCCCAACTGATCTGTCAATCCCATTTAAACGGCTTCAATTTCCGGTAAAAACATCATTCGCATTAACAATAACCAAGTCCCAAAGCCAAACCTTCGAATTAGTAGGGATCGATCTGCGAAATAAATGTTTTACTCATGGTCAACTGTATGTTGGTCTATCGCGAGTCGGAGCCCCTGAAAATCAATTTATTTTGCTGCCACAAAATAAAACAACATCAAATATTGTTTACAGAGAAGCACTAACTAAATAAATGTAATGAACTCAATAATTGAAAAAAAGGATGAATATGTGTCATATTATTATTATTATGAATGTGTTAAAATTGACTAATCTAAATGTAATGTTTAATGCCGTGCGAAGCCGGGACGGGCTGCTAGTTATATTATATTGTACAATTGTATATTGTATTATTATACTTTAGCAGTTTAACCAGATGCTTATCTAAATAAAGCTGTCTTGGACTTTGACAACTTGACTTGTCAGTTGAAAGGAAATCAGAGATTCTATCATAGTGTCCATTTTCATTAACTAAATGCATTCCTAGGGACTTTGACTAGAAACAATAGTTTTCTTTTCAATCGCAAGTTACAGCTACTCGTAATAAGTTTTATTGACCCTTTCGGAAGATGAAAATTTCCACAATTTCCCTCATTATTTTGCGAGGATGGTTTTTTTACACCAGATGCATTGGAGCCGTGTTTTGGCACTTTAAACCAACGAAGGACTACAAAATGGTTATGGAGGAGAGCTGGTGGAATCGATTGTGGTGGAAGTGTTTCTCAATAATTTGGCGCCTTGTGCCGATTTGTCTTAATGTCTACAATTCCTATGGCTTTATATGGAGACTAGCCAGCTTGGTTGATCAACTGGTGAACTTTGCACGACTTGTCTTCATTACTTCCTGCTGTTTGTCACTGATACACCTGCAGATTTTTCACGGCAAAGAAGTGATTCGATTGATTAACCAAAACCTTCGTCTTTTAAATCGAGTATCAGCTCTGTTGATTCGTTCGAAGATTGAATTTGGTGGCAGACGAGAAATGTGTCTGATAATATTATCTTTGGTCTGTCAGGTCCAAGAAGTCGTATTTCTATTGGCACTGTTTCGATTCAGGATAAATCAAGGAAATATTTTGGCTTGGTCAAGTTGCATTTATACCATCATTTGCAGTAATATAATTAAGCGTTTCTGCTCTATTTGGTACCTTAGCCTAGGTGTTTTATTTTCCAAGCTGAACGAGTCCATACGTTTGGAGTTACAATATTATAGGAGAAAACAAAAGCTAAAGAAAGCCATGGCTCTTTTTAGGGAGATATCTTTTATGATCACTTCGCTGCAGAAAATCTGCGATAAATATCTCTTTTTAAGCCTGGCCCAGACAGTTTTCAGCATGATATCGATCTCTTGCAAAATGATAGCAGACCGACAGTTCTATCAGTTTTGGATATGGTTCTGGTTTGTAAAGATGATGCTCGATATACTTATCCTAAGCTTGGCCATCGAAGGAGCAGTGAATCAGTTTGGTTATATTCGCGATCTAATTCCGGATATGTTCTTTCTCTCTGAGGTGACCGAATGGAACAGAAAGGTTAGTGGTTTTATTAAAATTACACCTTACTAGGATACAAAAAACTATATTCTCATACATTTAGATGGAAGTATTCGTCACTCATCTGAACCTGTACAAGTTTAGAGTCAGACTCTTGGGTCTGTTTGATATTTCCAACAAGTTTTTCCCCGTGGTTGTTACCGGCATGATAACTTATCTTGTTTTTGTCGTACAATTTATAATGCAATTAAAAATATAAGTTTAAAGAGGAACGAGAAGAGTTATTAATGTATTATCGACATCGAATGAATGCCATATTCAGAAGTTAAAAATCATAGTGGCTTTTGTCTAAAATTTTCCGGCATTCCCAACTTTCCAAACTTCTTATGAATATATTTTTTAAGCTTTAACAAATTCTGTACCAAATTCTCAATGTTGGGGCCGGAGGTATTGGACGAGCAGTTTGAATGCCTGCGTCGCATTGCATTGGCCATTTGTCAGACCCTCGGAAGGCCTAAGGATCGTGAGATCTGCCGGAGTACCCTCGACGAGATGGCCAAGTTCAATAAGGCGGCATCGATCAAGGCCAAGGAGAATGTGCACAAGTTCATGGTCTTCTATCTGAAAGTGCTAAGATGGACTCAAAAGAATCAACCGATTACTATATACGAGAAATGGGTGAGATTTCTGGCAAAATTTCCATTACAGCTTCAGGTTTAACTCATATAAACCGCAGTACGGCAAGCACTCTGGTAATGATTCGTCTTATCTGGGCGACTCTGAAGAAATGCGCGTTGGTTGCAGGAGGGATCATCATTCTTTGCCATGAAAACTTTTGAAGATGGATCCACTATGGTTTATACCGCAGTTGCCAAGGATCCGAAGGCTGGTTGGGCGGAATTCGGTCTTAAGTCTCTGATGGATATGCAGTACGGTTGTAAAAAATAATCTTGTGGAAAAACTCTACATAGAGGAATATATTTCGGCCGTGGGTGCATTGCTCGAGATTCGGTTTACAATTTGCTTTAAATGTATACAATATTCGTAGCTTTTAAGGCTTAAAGTCCGTTTTTATGGCAGATCGATTTTACCAACTTAGTAAGGGAGAAACAACAAGAAATCTTGTAGGAATAATCAATTTTGTCTTTCAGCTATTTCTTAACATTTCTTTTCAGTACTTATAATATATCTGTCCTAGTGTGATTTATGCACATTTAAATGCAACATAAAACATTCGAATTTGGTGAAAGTGTACGTCCTGCTTTAAACAAAATTGCTAATTCACCGCTCTGTTTTCCTTTTGGTTTGGCAAATCGATCTGTCATCGTGCTGTCACAAGATCTAGCTTGTCTTTAAACTTTTTAACTTAACTTTATAAATGGAAATGTGGACGGAATGTGATTCTGTTATCAAAACTCATTCTCAGCTTACGGATTAGTAAGAGTGTGTGTAAAGGCACAATTTGTCTTGTTTTTTTTGGTCTTAAGAAGCCACTTTCTGTTTAGCTCCTTACAATCCTTGAGGCGGCTCCCATTAGCAGGAAAGCCAAGAGCAGTTGAAGGATCCGTGCATTTTTATAAGACTGGACCCATTGCAGCTGTCACTAGAGCAATAGCACTCCTCCCAGTAGACACCATTCTCGTACACGCCCCAATTACAGACTCCAGTTACTCCGGTATCCGAAACGGATGCGCATCGTCGGATTACCTGGCGCCAGCGGCCGTCCCCTGGAAACAAAGCAAGATGTCAAATAAATAACGTTATATCGTGGATGGGAGAAGGAAACACTCACAGATAAAACCGCGGGGGCCTTGCTGCACCACCTTCATGCAAAACGAGCCTGGCATGTGGCTCTCATCGCTGTTGCATTCGATGGCTATGTGCTCCGTGCGATTGAACCGCTTGTAGGCTCCACAACTGTCGTGTCCCTTCCGATCTTGGTCGGATGAGCACTGGTAGCAGCGAATGGCCCAGCTGCCTGCAAATATTCAGTGATTAATTTCAATTACAGCATCAAAAAAAAAAAACATTTGCAAAGCCACACCCAAAGCCGAGATTAAACCCTTGGCGACGGGCATTTTACAGAGCTGTGGCTAATTACATACCGCAGACGGCCAGCGTGAGGAGCAGAAAGGCACAGCGTGTCAGGGCGGACATAATTAACTTAAACTGCGTTGTGCGTTTCGGTTAACTTAACTAAAATGCTTTTAAACTAAAAAGAATAACAAACTTGGAAATAAACGCGAGCCTCAGTGTGGCAGTGTGCCTGGCAGTCGAAAATACCAAAATTTCAAATCAAAATATCGAATCATCGATATTTGGGCAAACAAAATATTGCAACATCGATATATTGGCAAACAAAATACCACGATAAAAGATATCATAGTGAGAAAAACTATCGATATATTGATATATTTGCAACAACCCTAAAAATTTTCATTGTTTTGTTTTTTTCCGTCATTAGAATTAAGTTAGACATTTAGCATTAATATGACGACGTTGGGCAACATCTGCCGCGTCTGCAGCAGCCCTGCAGATTATGAAATCTTTGCCAAGATTCCCACCTATCTGCACGGATCCACGAACGAGTTTCTCAACTGGCAGAAGCCCATTAGCGTTCTTCTGGAGGAGACAACGGGCCTGAAGGTAAGCCATTTCCATTGTCTGGTCCCACGTTACGTTTTTATCCCTGCAATTCTCACAGAATTCCACGGACGACGGCCTGCCCCGCAACATTTGTGCTCCCTGCATCTCGTATCTCAAGCACGCCGTCACCTTTCGGGAGCAGTGCATCAAGAATGCCCTCAGTCTAAAGGTGGCGGAGCTATACCAACAGAAGCCGGTGAATATCTCGGACGCGAACAAAGTGGACAAGGAGAACGCCTTTTCACTCCAGCAGACCTGCGGTACGTGGAGCAGCGCCCGGTGCACGATCTGCTGCTAAACAATAGCCGAGCCAAAGTGCAGGCACCCAAAGACAAAGTGCACAAACAACTGCTAAACCAGACAGCTCCCCATTTGGACAGCAGCTCTGAGCAGCGGATCCAATATCTCAACGTGCTTTTCGACAAGCACCAGCGTCACAATAGCTTCCAGAGACATTCCAATGACAATGAGCTCCCTACGAGCAGCGGCAACGATGGTACCAACGAGGACGACGAGGACTATGGGGCGGTCAGCTCTAGCGACGACAACGAGGAGGCCGCTCTGCTGCGCAAGCACAAGAACTGCTATAACTACAGCGAGACCAATTTCGAGGAGGACGATCCTATGGATCAGGACCAGGTGCAGTTGCGCGACATCAAGGTGAATATACCGGAGCCCATGTGGAAGGAGCGCAAGTGCCCGGCCTGTTTAAAGCGCTTCATGTTCGAGGACTCGCAGCAGTCGCATCTGGACAACTGCGTGGAATACCAGTTCGTGGCATTTGTGAACGAGGTGACCAAGCTGCTGGATATTAGGCGGCAGAAGATGGTTTCGCCCCATGAGTTCATCCGACGGATGATATTTTCCCTGCACAAAACCTGCACTTGGCTGCAAGAACATTCCGTAGACTCGCTTCTGGCCGAGAAGCTTAACCAGGTGAAAATTCCAATGGCGAAAAGACAGCTGAAGTTCCCGTGCCCGCTGAGGTTCCTGCCTCGCTTCTCGAGGTAGAGGACGAACCATTTTCCACCTTTAACTTCATCAGTGGTACAACGACGCCAATTACGGAGGAGAACAATGTCCTCTATGCCATTGCGCGCTCCGAAAGCCGCAACTCGACATGTACGCCCACGGTTAAAAGCCCATTCCCATACGCGGAACGGTGGCGGCCTCATCACTGCCTTTTGGTATCGGCAAGGGCCCAGGTGACATGCACGAGGAACGGGCCACGTTTCTGGAAAAGCTGCATCGAGCGGCCTTCACCCCGGCTCGGACACTCCACCATGCCAATCGGGATTAGCTCCAATATTCTCAGCTCGATGCGGGCAGTGCAATTTAGTATTTGACTCGGTCTCCGAATTGGAGATTCACAACGGAACACATCATAATGGCCACTGTGCAAAGGAAATTAGTGCTGACGCCGAAGCACAGCGGCGACAAATAATTGCGCTTTTTGAAGACGACATCTAAGTTATCCAAAGAACTGTTTTTTGTGTATGCTCGGTGCAAATAAGCACTTTTATTTTATTTCAATTGTATTATTTATTTATTTTATGTATTTATGTTTACCACTTTGGATTACCTCCTACATAGTCCGAAGCCCAGGGCTTGACTCTTATATACATGGATGTATATATTCAGACCAATAAAGAGATTCGAAAGACTTACTTAAAGCTCATGCGTATACCTTTAAGCGATCTAGGACTAGGTTAGAGTCGCAAATGTTTAGCTCTAAGAAATTTCTGAGTAGACGCATTAGGTCAGTGCTCAGCAGACCTTCGCGTAATGTAAAAAGCTGATTAAGAACTCTAACAAGATGCTCTGGATTCGCCAGAATTCCTAATAGTGCAGGGTCGCCTATGGCCGCCAAATTTGCTAACACCCGTACTCCGTAGAACAGACGCAGCTTGTGCGGGAACAAACCAACTTCGCCCGACAAGCTGGCTCCAAAGAAATTTACTAGGCTCTCGGCTTGCTGGACACCAAGGCCTTGATCACGACCCACTAGCGCCAGCTGATGTACGATGTACATAAAGTACTCGCTGGCAGGATCCTCGGGTCGCTTCTCGTGCAAGTGCTGTCCCAGGTACTTCCGATCTTCGGTGCTCACATGTTGCAGGGCGTGGGTGGCCACCAGAAACAGGCAGGTGCCAGCATCCTCTTGGCAGCCTCTCGGTTCGCTGGCGGGTGCTGTGTACAGCTTCCACAATTTGGGAACTAGCTGCATTTGGAGCAAGGTCTGGGGCAGCTTTGTCGCAGGTGACTAGAATGTTGGCCAGGGTCCACAGACAGCTATGCTTCAGCCGCTCCTCCTTGCCGTCCAGATAGGTGACCATGTAGCTGCCCGCCAGACTCGCTATCTTCTCGGACACATGAGCCTCGCCCAGAGAAAGGTTGCACAAACATTCAACGGCATCAATCTGGCGCTGGATGTGAGGACCTAAAAGGTGATTCCAATCATTAAACATAGTATGACTCTTTCTAGCTCATCTACTTACCCGAGAGCTCCTTGACCACCACCTGGATGGCGCCAGGAATCGCCGCGAAGGCGTTGATGTTCTCGTTCCCTTGAAGAAAGGCCAGGGCCAAGCGGTACAGGTCCTCAGATGTCGCATGCTTTCGCCGCTTAATCCTAGAAGCTAGTCCAATCACGTCCTTGGTCCCCAGGTCCTCGAGCGTCGTCACCTCTTTCTTGATCTGTCCAAGCCTAAACGGAGCGCGTCCTTCGCTTGGATTCGGCACTCCTGGCGCTGTTCGCGGTCGTACACACGAATCTTGCTCCTCAGGGCAGAGTTCTCGGATAAAGGATCCGGTACAGAGGACATTTCTTTAGTTGAGCTGTGATAAATTCGAAAAACAGCACTTGTTGAGCTGACTGTAGAATTACTCGGTTTATGCGATGAATATCGCGAATTACCGAAAAGGCAAAACAAAAAAATATATTTAAAGCAATTATAAAACAACATTTTAAAGAATATTTAATAAATTCAGGTCTATTCTTGGAGAGCTTAAGATCAATCAACATTTATACTTTAATTTTATTTCGATTTCGTGTATTTGTAGAAATTGAAAATATAGCCGCAAAAGCTTTGTGGCCAAGACAATAACTTTATAAATTCTTATAAAAGGCTAAGCAAACCAAATCCTTAAAATTTTTGCTATATATATAACATAATTATCCAGATTTTAATTTATATTATACAACATTATTAAACACAAGAAAATTTGTTAATAAACTTCTGTTTAATAATATCGCATGCTTAAATATATCGATGTCAGCCACATCGATGTATCGATATATTATCGCTGTTACTCCCAGCCCTAGTGGTGTTAGTAAGGCGAAATTTACAATTGAATTCCG